AGTCAAATAACACAACATGTGACAAGAAGCATTAGTGGTGTTGGAATTTAGTTGAAAAGCCCTCAAATGGGCGCACTCGTCAAAAAATATCAAATGCCAGTGGCTTTTTTTGTGTCACAGCAAAAAAAAAGCTTCCAGTGCAAAGGTTTATGATTAGCACACCAAAGTTATGCTAGAAACACAACTGATGCATTTTGGAGAGATGAGGAAAAAACGTGAAATCTGAGGGAATTATTGGTAATTTTTCAAAATTCTATACTTACACACTCGCTCATGGTGGATGGATACATAAAAATTCCATCTGCGACGGGACATTTGGAAATAACCCAGCATTCGGTCAAATAACAAAGTTTATGTACACACATGCAATATGTGGTATACGTTAATTAAGTGCCCACGTTTGATGTTTCATCAGGGTGTGTGCGAGTGTATGTCGTGATACAATTTCTTGATCAAACTTATTGGTGCTTCCTAGTTTTGGCATTTGCCTAATATAAAGGGGTGACATATTTTCGGAATATGGGGCTTTTTTCCTGTTCTCATTTTGGCAAATAACATGGCAAATGTGTACAATATGCCAATCTGTTTGAGGGAAATATTGGTGAACCTTTTCCTAGGCTCTCTCTCTCCCTTTTTCCTGTGAATATGTTATTGCGTGTTTGTGCAATATCCATGAATTTCTCCGTATATACGCTTCTTGTCATGTCCTCACCAAAGAGCAAAAAATCACGTACTCGTTTGAAATATTGAAAGCACTTTATCATGAATATGTATTAATGGGCGGGGGAGGGAGGGCGCATTTTCGAAAGCTCCCTCTAAACTATTTAAGTTGTCACTTGGAGAGTGATTTATTGAGAGGCAGAAGCCCTGTGAATTTGCTTATTAGCAATTTATGTAGCCTTTATTGAATTGAGTCCGGGGTGTCTGAGATTATGGCCACTTCCTATCAATTAATTCACTTGCAGTACATGGGGTTAAAAGCCACTGCTGAGGGGTGACAAATTCAACAAATGACATTAATTGTGGTCCCGTCGGTACGGCTTGATTAATTAAATTCATTGTGCTTTTATTTGTGCATTTGCTGATTAATTAAACTCTGCTTGTATAACGCAGATACTGAAATATTTATTGAAAACCAATTGCGCAGAAATATTCTCCTTTAGCTAATTGAATGCTTCGGCGAAAATTAATTTGAACAAAGTGGCGATGCTGCTTGTACAGCGAATGCAGTATTTGTGTTTGTTGGCTGCTCAACTGTTCTGTGAAGGTATCGTTGTCTGAAAGTATACATAATTAAATGACTGAGGATAATTTATACCGCAAAAAGCTCTTAATTATCTTGCACAGTACTGTTTTTATGGTAATTTAATTATTGCAAATATTTCGATGGTTGACAAAATGTACGTGTTTTTCCTGTGTTTTCGCATGTCCCTGTGAAAATGTGTTTCCTCGCTGTATGAATATAATTTGCTGTGTTGGATACACCAGGGATAGGTTTATGCCATATTCTGGTACTTTTCATCTATAATTCATGTTATGCAAATAGGAAAATGTATAATGTATACATTAATAGAAAATATTCTGTGTGGCTGAAGATGGGAAATGTATATGATGAAGGCTGCGCGTTTGTAACAATATTTCTTCGATTTTCACTTTCAACCAAAAAGCATATTTTTCGCGGTGTAGAAGAAAGAAGAGGAAAGACGAAAGTTAGCATTAGTGGTGGTCCAAAATGAAATTACACTCTTCCATCGTTTTTACCGTGCGAAAAGGAGAATTTCTCCTTGAGAGAGGCAACTCGACGAAACAGTGCGGTCTTGCCTTTCCGGCAATTGAAGTTCTCTTTCTCTCTCCCTGTCTTGACTCTTTGGAGTCGAAATGTGTTGCTCGGTGGAGTCAAAGAAGGGAAAATGGGTAGGTTGAGGCTCTAGGAAAATTTTCTTTCATCATGTTCAGAGAGCTTCCCTTTTCTAGGATATTCTCAAGTACATACACACACAATTTCCCTTCTTAAATGATGGTCTGGGTAAATGAATTGAGTTTTGCCTCCAGCAGCTGCTGTACAATTATGTAAATGCCTCCCTGTTTTCTTCAATTGGGTTAAACCGATAAATTTGGACGTGTATTTGGCCAATATATCCAATTGCGCCACATTGAGCCAAATATAGGGCATTCTTCAGCACATTTCGTCACCAACATCATGAATATATTTCTTTATCTTTGAATGCGAATCATTTTAATTAACAAACTTATTGTGTACTTAAACACATTTGTCTTCAAACGATCAGCGAAATTCGCAAATCCACTAATGATACTGTCAAACAGACTCATTTAATCCACTTAATTATTCTCCATAGATCAGGCTGAATTCATGCAGCAAATGAACCGTGAAGAGGCACTCTTTGTGACAGTGATTGGATGTGAAGGAGCATGGAATTGTGACCGGAGGACAAATCAATAGAGCTAGACACTGACCACAGTTAATGATCATAAAACGGGGATATCAGCAGTTTTATGTTCAGTGACGTCAGTGGCGTCGAAAGCTCCCGTCGACGGTGGTGTGTTTGTGACGTCGGGTGGTGACGGACAAACGATAGAAAATCAGAAATAGTTTTCACTTAAGGCCGATGGCGGTGATGGCGGTTTGGGATTCCAATTCGCTCGACCCAAATACTGGGCAATACTGGACAGACACTTCCCATTCTGAGAGCATTGTCAGCAACATCATTGTGACACGTAGCCCGTGTAAAACGTGACCACAATGTGTGACTATGTGACCCTTTGATATCAGTGAGGAGGACCAAACCGATGCTGCATTGAGACTGTGCGCGCCATCCTCCCGTTATGCCCCTTTATCTCTCACAACCGTGCTCCCGGTGCTGTGTATATTCCGACCTTTTTCGCCCCTGGACAACGTGTGTGCGATATTGTGGGTTGAGGAGGCGAAAGGAGCGCAAAAACTGACTTACCAATTCTTTCACCGTCACCGCGAAATCGTGCCCCGATTGTTGTTGATACCACACAAGGCAACAGCCAAAGGGTTGGCGCGGGTGGGGGTGTTATGAAAAATTTCCTGCATGGAATATTTGATTCTTCGTGTGTACATGATTTCCTTGTCCTCATTCTGGCAATGGTACATGCACGTTATCGCGCCGCATCACTGCAAAAATATTACCCATTAACCCTTTAATATTGCAGAAATATGTTTAGAACATTCAGGACATTAATATTGAGGATTATTGAATGCACAAACTTGACTCTGTGGTGAGAGTTGAAAATACAATAATGAGAGCACTTGTGTTACTTAATAGGAAAAGCATCAAATGTTCACAGAAAAGTTACTAACAGATTCTGAGAAAAATTATTTCCACCTCTCATCAACACAATGGGGAGTGTTAACACTAAATAATATGTTGTCGATTGTGTTGTTCGAGAGAAAATTCTCCGCAAAACCACTGGAAATTACTTCTTTGAGAGATTATATGTTTTCTATTTTCTTGAAATGCTGCCGATTCTCTTTCTCTCATTCGAGCAAGCTTTTCATTTCCAATTCACACTTGCAGAATTGTTGTGCGTTTAAATTGAGATTAACTATGAAATGGAAAATAAATATGAGTTTTCTCTTGACTTAACACTTTCAGAATTGAATTCCTGGTGCCTGTGGAAACCTTCAAAATAGGTCTATTTGTCTGCAAAATGATCAAACACATTTGTGTGATGTTTGAATAACTCTCTCCAAATGTGAATTTATTTCCATTCCCCCCGGATGAGCCCATTTTGAGTGTCTGGCAAAATTCCCAGCATCTCATTTGAACACTCCACGTGCCGGGGAGATTCTCTGCCCCTCTGATTTAGATAATCTTTGTCCATGTGAAACATACAAGAGCACACATTTAACACGTCGCTGCCATGTCACACATATTTTATGCGCAGAGCACATTCTAATCTAATTTGCAATTGAGCGAATGACCCTAAAATATCTACGTGCTGATAAAAAACGACGGACGGACACAGAGGGGTTTCGGTGAAAATATGAAATTGCGTTTGCCATGAATAAAAAAAATGCTTCACACTTAATTATATCAAGAGCTGTCGTGACCAGTCATATGAATTGTAAATTTTTAGTATGTGCTATATTTTGGATGTAGCGACATTTTAAATTATACAAAACTCGTGGTCGCGTCGATGGAAATGTGAGTTGTACCATGGGGTTTTGTCGGCTTTGGGAGGGATGTGTATAGTATTTATGCCACGCAGAATCATGTTGGAGGTGGTGGTGTTAACATTGTTTGAGTGCTAGCCAAAAAGCTGGAAATAATTTAAATAACTACTGCGAGAAAAACATTTATTCAAATGTTTTTTGCAGCACCATTCAGCACTGTGTAAACTGAAATAGCGCAGGAAATTATCATCCGTTTGCCTACAGAGAGATAGTAAGACTTAAAATTCTGTAGATCTATCTTGAATACTGTGGCTGTTTCATGCTAGAATAATAAACTTTGTAAGGCTTTAATGCGCACGGAAGTCAAAAAGGTCAGAAAGATTTTAATTGAACTTTGGTTAAATCAAAACGATAATTTATTGATCTTGTGGTTCTTCATCAACCACAGGAAATCAGAAAGTTTGCATTGTACGCCAAAGAGAGTAGTTGTTATACGTGTGTGCACGATGCGGAACTATTTCATTTGTTGATCTGAATGCAACTGTGAATGCAAATCAAAAGAAAGCTTTGACAGAAGAAGTGATAGACCACACAGAAGTTACGTATAACTGCTGTGTTGAATGTTTTAGGTGATTTTTAGGGGTTAACTTTTAATGCATATAGAGTGTTCGAGACTTTGGTATTAGCTTTATGGTGCTTCTGGCAAACAGTGTGACACTTTCCGTTCTTGAGTCTATCCGGGATGTAATTCTGAGATAGAGGGAGAAGTCCGGGCTGCGGGCTGCTCTCTCTCTCTCTCCCTCTTGGTACTCATCATTGTATGTACACACTCTACCAGGCGCTCTCATCATCATAATCATTCCCGATGGCATCCAACATGCACAAAAGCACTGGCTGCAGATGACATGACTAATTACACTCGCCTAGCAATGAGGGACTCTCTTCCCGCTCTTTTGCTGTTTACCATGTGAGAGTGAGGTGAGTTATTATGTTTACCAGGAAGTTGCACTGCACCAGCAAATCTACTTACGGGATTGTGTATTTGTGTTGTTTTAGGGTTGATAATGATGGAAGGGTTGGACTGCAATCACTCAAATTTATTACAATACTCAGCTGTCACGTGACGCGACTGCGGTGGAATGAAAATGTGTGATCCATCGCGGTGGAGGAAAGTGAATGTGAATTATCACTAATGGTGATTGAATTGAGAATCCACAAAGTCTCTAGTGTGCGCTAGTGAGATAATTGCTAAGTGGACAGAGTCTCATGTCATAAATTTCACATTTTCAACTTTTCCATTCCCACCCACTTTTCCCACGCTGTTCCGCCCTTTGAGGGTAGAAAATGCAATTGTACGGTATATTCGAAATGAAAAATGTCAGAAGGAAAAACATGTAAGCTGTCGCAAGTGTATATATATTGGAAATAAATTATGAGGAGAAATTTTGCGTCTTCTGCCATACGTTCTGGCACTGTGCTTTTCTTTGCAGCGTCTGCAATACATGTGATGTATGCCTCTGTCGTTGCTGTGCGCTACTTTATGGTGAAAATTAAACTGACAATATAGCACGAGGAGCTCTGTTTGACCTCATTAACAATTCCCCTACAACTTTGGCTTTTTTGTGCTATTTTTGGGAAATCAAGGGGTGAGTGTCAAAAGTTACAGAGTAACTTTAAATTATTCGAATGTACTTTGCAGTGTAATTTTATTTTTCAGCGAAACTGCACCAATGTTTCAGTCTACAGTTGCATACATATACTTGGATCAACATTTTGAGTGTTATGAAATTCTGGGACATTTATAATTATTATCATATTACGCAAGCATAGCCATGATGATTTATTTGGAGATTTCGACTTAATCCTTGATTTTTTCTCGTCTGCAATCCAACTTTTGGGTGTGTAAAGTAAATTAGCGCTCAAAGGCAAGTGGATGGCATGAAAATTTGAGAGACTGCACTGAATCTGAATTGTGCCGAAGTCAAAAATTGAGTTTCACTCTGCTCGTTTTATCTCTCAAGTGAAAGAAGTGATTCCACTAAATTAAATAACATGGTTAACCGCTTAAATGTAAACTTTCAGCAGTTTATATGTGAAAGGGAGCTCTGTGCAAGCCATAAAGGAGATGTAGATAAGCTGCGAGAAAGACAAATAGTGCACTTTTTCTCACAGAGCTTGTGTGCAGTGAAAAAAGGGGGGACGATATGCCTCATTCCTCCTCTCACATTAGTTTTCTATACATCACTCAAGTTTCCTTTTGCCTCTCTCTTTTATTAAGTGGCTTTGGGCGTACTCAGTCCTCCGTAATGCTCTTCTTCGTCATTGTTGCCATTGTCTTGTCCCGTTGGCGGAAGTTTTCCTCCATCTCCGCGCAAGCATGAGGATGGAGACATACAAATTTGCAATTTCTTCCTTCATATTGCACCATGGAGACTGCATCCCCAACACAGGGCCATTTATCAATGTGCTCCTTCCTTGGAATTTTTCCTCGGTGTGGGGGAAGTTTGTCCTTTGGTATTCTCGGTGACCACCCACAATTCTCGCCCATGGTGCCCCCCACAAAAACAAGCACAATTTGCATATTTTTGAGTTCCGAAACAGCCGCCACAGTTTCGCCCCATCTCACAGGACGTATGGTGGTGAAAACAGCAAATTCATATACACCGGCCGGGAGAATATGGCTGTGAAGGAGAGCGAGCGTGGAGAGAGAAAAAGAATGACATAATCATGCAGACTAATTGAGCGGAAAATGGGTGGGTGTAAGACAGAAAAAGGATAACACTGCACCAAAACTTGGCTGTGATGGTTTGCAAAAAGTGTGTGCAAGGGTGGTAAAAGTGTCCCAGAAGCTCCACTAAAAATTCCCACATGACACAATTAAACTCAGGCTCGAAAGGATGGTGTTTCGTGTCAGAAATTTGTATTTTAAAATAGACACCATCTTCATTTTATCTCTTTTTACTGCTCATGCTGTGCGCTTTTTATCCGTCCGACACCATCAGTTGCCCAAGGGGCTCATAATTGCTGAAATTGCATGTGAGCTTGTGAAGTGCAACGCCATTCCCAAAGGTGTGGATATTTATTACAAATTGAGTTCTCAGATGTGTTGCCCAATTCAATGGAAACACTGCATGAAAAGTGTAATACAATATTAGAATATTATAGTGAATCTTGACAGACAAAACACGCAAAAGTTCATATAGAATTTGCTCAACTTTCTACCCACAGTTTGGTGGAAAATGTACAATGTTTTTTGGTATTGTAATGTTGGTCCTGCGGAAAGACCTCTAATTGGTCATGTAAAGTGGTTTCTGTAATTTCATATAAAAATGATAATTTACTTATTTCTCTCTTCTCCCTATTTTCTCTATTTAATTTCCTCTGACTTTTTTCCTGCTCACCACCAGGCGAAACGCAGACAATTCAACCAAGAATGTTCATGACAAGTGGTGCAGCCGCACTGAAATGGTACAATTAAGAAATTATCAAACCAAATAATTCAGTTGGTTTTTTTCCCCATCTTCCCTTTTCCCAGTTCTCAATTGTGCATTCAAGTCTTACTTTTCTCCTAGCGTGAGCAGAATTTCGGGGAAATGTGAGGAAATTGGCAAGCTAAGATATGCACAAGTGTGACTATTTGAACACTGAGCAATGCGAAGAGATGAATATTTAATGGATGAATAAGGGAAAATTCTTATCATCGGTGGTGTGAAAATAGACCGGTATCAAAGTATTTGCTGATGGCGCACATTTTGCAAAATTTAGCGCTAAAAGTTACTTAAGTGTATCTCAAGCGGAGTGAGAGTGAATTTGATTTGAATTTATGTTGGTGAATGGGAAAAACTTTAATGGCTCTTCTGAAACTACACATACAAATGGCTTACATGATGTTCCTCAGTGGTGCACCATCACATTTGCCATTGCTTGGTGGGGCCCAACTCATTCCCGAACTGTCTCGCCATGGTCGCCCTTCGGCAATGTGAGCTTTGTGCAGACAGCAAATGAAACTTTGCTCAATCGCTGGGGTTTAGAGATTATAATGGATGTTCACCAGTTCCTCTATTTCACCCTGTGTGTGTCCAAATGTTAGACAATGGCTGCTCGTAGAATTAGTCGTTGCAGGATATAGATGAAATTTGTAAATGCATCTATTTCGGCTGGCCTTTGAATTTAGTGTATTAATTTGCTTTAGCTAGGTGTTCGCAAATCAACAGAATTTGATTCAAATTCAAATTCAATGGAATAAGCGGTTGCTTAATTGCAATTTTAGTGCAATTCAGACTCTACATTTGCAAAAAACGTTTGTATTTCATTCATCAACACATTTTTTTGCCAATTTAATCATTTGTCATAATCAATCGACTTGTCAATCGATTTAATTGGAAGAAAATATATCATTTGAAAGAAGTTCTGTGCAAAATACTTCCCTTCTGATTCCGGATGTTTGTATGATGAACACAAACAGACAGAGAGTATATTGAATATTTTTCTTTGAATTCCATCTTAAGTCTGAATCTCTTGCACTGAATGAAAATTCACCGCGCAATATGAAAAGGAAATGTCTGTTAAGAGAGTAAGTCATGGAAAAACTTTTCAATTCACATAATGAAATTTGACATAAAGTACATTTGATGCTACAATATTATTTACGCTCGTCGCATGCAAAGACAGAGAAAATATGAAATACATGAAAAATGCATTGCAATGAGTCTCTCATGTTGACCATTTACTGTATGCTTCACAAATGGATGGTTCGGAAAGTATGTGGATGATAATAAATTTGTAGCAAATTGAAATTAAATACTAAACTTGGATTGGCACTGATTTAGATGGTGTGTGCTCACTGGAGGAGTTAAATAATTGCCGAATGGTGAACTATCATTTGGAGGGATGCGAGCCATATTTATTTTTCTAGACACATTCCCATAACTTTTTCGTGGGCTACGAGGGACCTATAAAAAGTGATGAAAAGCTCTTTATATTGCTATATGTTTAGTTTAGTTATGTATGTGGTGTGCGCATTTTGCCTGAAAATCCCCCAATCGGGGGTGTATTTTGGTGAATATGTGGGTGGACACAGTGAGAAAAACACACTGAACAGATGGAGAAACTATTTTGTGATAAATTGCTAACGAAGGGAATTAAATTGATAGCAATAAACATCCCCAAAATCCACTTCTATATCACTCTTAACACCCCAATCATGAGGCGTGATGCGTGGTTTTTATTTTCCGCCGTGCGGCATCACACTTGAAAGTTTCATGTGGGTGAGCAGATGGTGGTGATATTTTTATCCGACCAACTTTGTGATTAGAAATCATTAGATTATATCAACCCCAAGTGTGGGGTGATCGTAATCCTTCATCCAGTTGGGTGAGAGATATTGCTTCGTAGAGCCTTGGCAGTTTACCGGTAATTTGCATTTAGTGCCGCTCAAATTAATGACACGGCCGCGGAGATTATCGCATTATGATACAAATATGAGGCCGCGGCAGCATTGGGTTTTTGGGTAGAAAGTTGAGAGGGTGAATAAACCATGGCGTATTTAGCCTTGTGGCTCCATGTGGGCTGTTGATTGGTTATGAAGTGGATTCTGACGTGGTTATGGGGGTTTTCCATGTATGATATGGGGCAATATAATGTTGCATTCACCACGCCCTGGTGTATAGCTATACAAATATGGCCCATTCCAGATTTCACCATATAACGTTCCACCTCAAATATCCGCTTCAATGGCCAACGCGACACGCCAATTCCATCCAAAATGAACTCTGCATTTCACCTTATCTCCGCCACTATCTCTTCCATTATGCTGCTGCGCCCGGGATATGCCCTGAAATTGAGAGCAGACAGATGTGGTGTATTCTTATTCAGGGAGCACAATAGCGGATCACTGGGGGTTTGGTGCATCACCTATCTTTGTGTTGTCCTTCGTGGAGTTGTTGATGCACAAGTATTTTCTTGTGCACTCCGACGTGCACAAATGCTACCGGGAGGAGATGACTTTGCAATGAGAGAGCTTCGTGTGCCGTCTGCGTAGCGTTAGGCATCCTGGATGGGGACACACTCAGGATAGTGCAGAGTGCTGGGAAAAAGTCAGCCTTACGAATCTCTCCTGGGGATATATATTCGGAGGTGGTGTTTTTGCGAGGGTCACAACAACAAAAAATTCCGTAGAAATGCACAAATTAACTCAGTTGGAAAACTAAAGCTCAAGTCATGACTTTTCTACCATCAGCAAGAAATTTTCTTCACCTGCCATCGCGCTATGTGCCAAAGCGACTTTGGCAAAACTTTATGTTATGCAGTATTTAGCGAAATTGTAAAATCGTGATTACACTTGTGGATAATTATTTATTTTCTGGCAGTTGAGTTTTCCACGCAATTAGTGATAATTGAGTGGGAATTTTCTGGTGAAAATTGCACTCGCTCCTTTTTTGTTCTCTGACGCTTCGGAGTGAATTTACACAAGTGTAATTGAACGGAAATGTAAGCAGAGAAGATTCCTCCTCCGCAGACAATCGACACATCTCTCGTGGATTTCTCTTATAAAAATATAATGAGGAGATTGAGAGAGGAATATTTATTAGGAAAATCTGTGGGAGATATCATGGATTCTGCAGGTGCGATGGCAAAGCGACGCACATTATTAAAGATTCATTCTTCAAATTTTGCGTAGGACAAAGCCTTCAATATCTTGTGCTTCTCCCGTGAAAAGCTGTTCTGTATGTAAATAGGGTATGAAATTTTGTGGAAAGTTAAATCCCGAGATGGCCTCAGCCTTGCAGAAGTTTAGGTTGAATGTTTGCACTCACAAAGGAAAATATTCATATAACTCAATATTTTCCGGAACAGCTTAGGGGGTACGTGTTTTTCTCTGATTTTTGGAGATAAGTAAATAGATTTTGTAGCATTTCCCTTCCAGCGCTGCGAAATCCGTGGATAGGTGAGGGCATTTCTATTCTCCGCCAGCCGGAAAATCCAACTCACCGCGTGCGTTTTGCTGTATTGACACAGCTAAACGCCACGCAGCTTTTTCGTAGGGACGAAGCTCTGTTCCTCCTCGCCTAAACATGTGCGGATGTCTGACTCTGACCCGCGCGTCTGACTCGGTGTAGTGAAGTTGAAAAACAAAATTATTCGGCAAACAATGTCTCATTCAGTGCAACGCTTGAAAACATCCTTTGAGCCTGTTTGTGTGCTCGCATCTGAATTGCCGCAGGGATTGTTGAGCTTGAAAAAGTGAATTTAATGTCTCATACTTATTACACGTCGTTGAAGTTCTATGAACAGCCCGGGTGCGGATGTACTGAGGCTGGGTGGGGAGGAAATGGGTGGCGAATGTAGTAAAGTGAAACCTATTGTTTTAATCTCTTGGCAAATGCAGCGAACTAAGCGCTGAGGATTCTTGTGCGATGTCGCCGAGGGAGTGAAGACTGCGCGCCTTTTTCTCATCATCATCTGTCTCGTTTCACAGGGCACACAAAGTGGAAATTCAGCAGACATAAATGAAATATTACACTGTAATCCCCCGAGGACCCGGAAAGTGCAGTCCTTGACTATGTTGACGCTATCCGGGGGTAATAATTGCAGAAACCCTCACTCAACTTCCAGGCCACACACACAACACAGCCTTACTCATACAAGAAGCCCTCATCGGAAGCACTACGCATCATTATTTTTCAACCATGTTCCAAATTGGATGGCAATGTACATACATAGTTAAATTGGAAGAAATATTATTGAGATTAGATAGCGTGTTCTGAGGTTGTTCAGCGCTACCTTTTCCGCACATCGCCTCTCCTGAGCTGGAGATCTCCCACGATGATGATTTCGCTCCATTATTTCCTGAAATTTTGTCTCCAGGGGGTACAAACCCTCATCATCATTTACGCTCCTCTCTATCTTCACTATCTGCCACGTGTGCATGTATCCCCACTTACAGACTTACCAACGCCGGAACGTCTTTTCGCGCTCTTAAAACCGACTCTTACAACAGTTTCACATTTGCAATTTGACTGTGTTAGTGCTCCTTAGATTCAGGAAAAACGCAAACTCTAATTCGCTAGATTTCTTACTTGTGAAAACTCTGTCAAAGTTTTCATAGAGAAGTGCGGGGCAGCTAGAAATTCCACATTGTGCAACTGAGAATGCCTAGAAGCTCGCAAGGTGAATCCTTGTGCTGCACGCAAACTTTGCGCTGACTCATTAATTACTTAATATGACTGAAAATTAAATTCCACTGATCCTGCAGCCCCATATTAATACTTTATATACCATTTTACCCATAAGGAATGTTTTCCAGGCAATACAAGATTGTTCTTCAAGCTTGTGGAAAACTTACTAAAGTCGAACATCGTATTTCAGAGTGTAAAATTACTCTCATCTTCTCTTCTACATATGAAACTAGAGCACGAAGTTACAAAAAATATTGCAACTTCCTTCCTGAGAATACTTGAAAACTCCTGTAAGTCATATTTGAATGATTGATTGTCGCAAGCCGCCGAAATAAATTTCATGTGAAGCACCGCATGAAATTGTTCTGAGCCCAGAGGCTCAGAATGTGTGATTCGAAGGGGAGTTGCAGCCCTCCTCGAGGCAAGACAATATGACAAATTTAGCGAGAAAAACACCTTAAGAATGCTTAATGTTTGCCATGAGTAAAACTTTCTATTGTGCTCAATTTTTCAAATTCAATTTAACGTTTTTTCAGGCGAAAATCCACTTACGTGAGATAAAAATGGTGTTTTCCACTCTGGTGACTAGGCACAATTCAATTAGGATGACTTATTCTTGGGGCTAATTTAAGGGAAGGTGTAAAAAGTGGTCAAATTTGCCTGGCTCCCCGAGGAGCAATTAAATAAAACAGCGCAAGGTGGACTTTTTTTCTTCTATATCGCGCTTGGATGTGAAGTAAAAGTTTGCGCTCAACTCGTATTTCAATTTAATTTCAGTGCTTTCCATGATATGAGTTAAAATCAGGAGTTTAAAGTTGAGCTAATTGTGCTTCTCATGTAAACATTGCGCTACATATCGTGATCGATGATTGAAATTTTTCAAAGGATGCTGTGTTACGACGAAACAGCGTTGATTTTCTATATGAAAACCAGAGCTGCGTATTCTGTGTGTGTGAAATAGAATATTGCAATCATCACTCGAGCTCTAATTGGTGGTGGTTTCCCGTGTAAATGCGATCTTGTTGTTGCTCTCACACTGAAAAGGTGGTGGTGTTAATGTACAAAGCATCAAAAGGTGGAATTCTAGAGAAAATAAAATTGGATATATTTGCCATATTTGTATCTAGTAAATTATACTCTGGGCTGTGTAAATCCTTAATGAAAAATGAAGAGCTCCCAGCGAAAAATCAACGCCGCGACAATGAGCCTCATAAACACCAATTAATGTCTCTAGAGTCGGTACACTTTAACGACATCAAGCGAACCGTTAAATCAAAAGGCCGCAAATTCCTCAAGTTGGCATCTTCTTGCGCGCCCTCCCAATTCAATAATTCAAATTGGCGATTTACAGAATTTAGCACATTGTTTTTATGAAGTCATAAATATGCGGAAAATGGGAACAGCACGCAAGGGCAGAGGGTGGGGGGTGAAGTTGAGGAAATGGTGCAGAGAAAAGCATTATATTGCTTCCATTTGCGATTAAGTTGTTTGCTATTCGCGTGGAGTAAAAAAGACTGAGCAAAATTGCATGCAATCTGCAGTGAAGCAACAGTTTGGCAAAAATTTCTTTGTTATGCTGGAAGAGTGATGACAGGAGATTAATATGATAAGTGCAATGTACCGGTATGTTAATTGCGGGGCTGCAAATCATGCAATTGGGCGATTGGTAGCAATTCAGGCACATGTGTATGCGATTATCCATGCCGATTTGGCACTCGAGGCGGCGGTTCTTTTGGCGTGCTGCTACCACTGTAATCACACATCACCGAAATTGGGGAGATAGTACGTATCGGGAAAGTTTCACTCATCGCATATTCGGCGCATCGGATGGGCGAGGGTGGCGTGCACACAGCCGAATGTGCGGAGGGGTTGGATTCTGGGAATGATGAAGGGATGTGGCGCGCACTTGGGATGTGCGCACATCCTCAGGATCTCCAGCAGACTGCCGGACGCCTCAGCTGTGTCAGTCTCCGCCGAGCTTTCGTAGCAGAAGCATCGCGACGACGAGCTGTCCTCTCGAGGAGCCACAAAACTCGACGCACGAAGAGCATCTTGGAGCGGTGTGGGTCTTGCATCCGAAGCCTGACTTCGCCTCTTTGCGAGTGCCATGAGTGAATGTGAAAATAATTACTTCTGAGACTCTGCAGGCAGCCGTGTGGGCAGAAGAGTGAGTTTGGTGGTCGATTTCACGCAGTGTGAACTTGTGAGCACGAGACAGCCCGGAGATTACATGAGTGTAAAGTTTAAGAGACACGCGGCTCTCTCCCTCCACCCACACGCTGTGTCATCAAGTGATGAAATTTATCACCAAGTGAAAATTAATTACCCCACATTATTTGATTAAAATGTCTTGGAGTGTAATATATTATTTCACGCAATTAATGCAAATATCATGAGTGACGATTCCCCTCGCATTCACACACGCACACGTCACGAGATGATTGCAGGAGCGTTAAATTATTCGAATTGATGAGTGGCAAAGTGGGTGGCAACCGAAAAGTTGCAAAAGAACTCTAGAGATGCCCTCCTCGGGGCGCTCCGCTCTTCGTCCCCACGAAAACTTCCGTCCCTGCCGCACTGCTGGCATGGGAAGAATTATTTGCGCCAGAGGTTGAAGGTGAAGCCGGGGATGCGAGGGTGGAAAAATACGATCATACCACACTATACACCTCGTCAGTTTGAGGAAAGTTTAAAAAGCACTTGAAACTTTTCAGTAGATTGGGTCAACTTGAGATATTCCCAGAGAGTGGAATTTTCTCGCTCATCTCCCACTCTGCGTATCACAATACTTAGCCATTAAATATGCCTCGAAATTTCACAACTTTACAATTTGCCAGCTTCCTCCCAATGAGCACCTCTGCCAGTCACCGAGTCTCATTCACACTGAAATTAATATTTACTGCTTATCGCGGTCGTTTATCACAGAAAAAAGTGCCGCGACAAGAAGCACTCGCCGCCTTGTGGGTGTTTATTGTTATAAGTGGCTGAACGGTGCCATCCACCAGAAATGGTTAGACTTTGCGTATGTTACTCCAATATCACTCTCGTGCATTAACATTAAAAAAATATGAAACCACTTCCAGCACACTGTCTAAAGAACTTTCCTCTTAACTCACCCTCTTCAGGGGATGTTCCTGCACTCGAAAAATGTGAACAATGCCATTTATGGAGTGCAGAAATTGGCGATGTTATAGCCGAGATGAGTGGAAAATTGCAAAAGCAGGAAATTGCTGTGAGTGGTCGCATGGAAAAATAGCTGAAAGATCCTAAATACAAACATGTCTCCACCTTTTGAAACTCAGCTATTTGCATAACTTCACATACACATTATGGTAATATGTGCAGGGAAGATATACTGTGCGCCATTTGGTAGTCGTTAATTCTGCAAACTTTTTGTCATCAAATTCTTGCATGGGGAGGAAATTGCATGCAGATAAATCCAAGTGGGGGGAAAAGTGTCGTACACTTTTCCCAGAGCGGCCAGAGAAAAAACTAATTTCATTTTCCACCTATCTCTGCGTCTCCATCTCTTTCTCACTCTGACCACCCCAGCTTATCCATAACCACCCCAACAGTCTGGCAACTGAAGCTGAAAAAAAACTCTTTTCATGCTACAACAATTCGCAGTATAATTTAATTGTTTTAAACTGCTTCACAATGACTTCTGTCGACGCAAAGTCTGAAAAAAAACTCAAATGAAAAAGTTCATCCCCCACTTTAGCCTCCCTTTCAGCCAAATTAAATGTGTGATAATGCATACATTTTAATAACTTTATGGTGTACATAAATTTTAGGCGGAAAGGCAGGAATTGAAATTGCCGAGAACGTGTGTACACTTCCTGATTTTCGAGCTCTGTTTTAGTTGGAAAGTTGTTGAGGCGCACTGGAAAACTTTGGCGATTTGCGTAACTGAAATTGTATTCTTAGTTTATTTATTTATTCTAGAAGAATAGTTGTTGTAGTAGGTGTTGTGGTTTTAAAATGCAGCACACATTTTATGTACAAGGCAATAAGTCTAATTGCATGTTTTATAGTATTTATCTCACCTGAATATTTTGCAATGTTAATTTCAATATGAGTGTCGTTGAATTTATTTATATTTTCATCAACAACAGCTTTTAAAATCCATTGAAAATTTGATCGTTTAAGAACTCCGTTGACTTTTCGAGCAGAGCGCCTATTATTGGAGCTTCCCTAGACGCCCTAGACGACCGGAGGAATGGCGTGATATGCTCTTCCTCTCGTAGAATGTGTGAGGAGCAACGTTTGTCTTCGGCGGAAATTAAATGTGCGGAAATGAATTTTATCTCTGGCGCGAGGAATCATTTGGGCGTAAAGTGAAAATTCGCACGATGGGACTGAATTGTGCGAGAATAGCCCTGATTTATTTGTGTCGCCATCGTGTGTGATAAATTTGGTATCAGATAGAAACAGCATCAGCTATCAAACTGTATCACCAATTCGACACTTGTGGGTGGGATGAGGTGCGTCTTCGGTGCGGGGATTTCCCGCCTCAGGGCGAGCAGGCCATCAATTGTACAAGTCAGTGTGAGGCACATCATTCCGAGATCAGCCCCACAGCGGCCGCATGTGCTCATTTGACGATCGGACGGGGAGCTTTTGCCCGGCAATTGGCCGCCTTAGCCCCGCTGGGTCAGAAATTAAGGGATCTCCTGGATTGTCTCCTCTGTGCTCGGGCATGGCAGGGCGGTGGAATGGGGGGGACAATATAGTGTCACAATACGACATTCAACAGGGATAAACTATGGGATTTTATTTTTATTTCCACAATTCGTTTTACACACACACAATCATGCAACACCCTTGCCATCGCCACCAGCAGAGAAATATCTCCTTGAGCACCCATTTCACCGATGAGTTTTCCTCTCTATTCTTTCTCACTTTCCTTGGAAGAATGCCGGCACGGATGCCAAGGAAGAGCGGAAAAAATAGAGGATATTTGTTCTCCTCTTCCTCAAGTCGATTTTCACTCCCCCCGCCCCCCTTTTGCCCCCATGCTAGGCAATACATTCCGGCCGGAGACCAATTGTATCCGTGAAAAGGAGTATTTGCTGTGTGCTTATTTGGTATTCAGTTATTTTGTCGGCGGGATATATGAATCGGATTATTGCATGGGAATGTTCTACAACAAGGCAAAATACACTTTCGTATTACTTTTGTGTTTGCCGAAGCAAATTCTTACCATGGCACACATCCTCTCTCTTTCTCTCTCTCCCACCCCCACCCCCAGCAAATGCATTATTCATTGCATTTCACAATTATAACCCCAGTAGAAATCCCACGTGCATGTGAAGCAATTCACTATGCATTTCGCTGGAACATTCAACTGCCACATTTCACTCCTGCCCCCCACTGAAATGTGAAATATGCTATAGTGAATTGGGGAGAAAAATTTTCGTGACTTTGATGGAACTCGCTCTGATGAACACGGTCCAGCTTCAGCGCCAAGTTTGTTTAGCCCGAATCAAATCAAAATTGAGGAAGTACAGCAAAAAGGTTTCTCTTGGCGCTACAGCATCTGGAAGCTGGATTTTATTAAATTTCCTGGTTGAGAATGGAGCAAAAAAGCCAGACGCTAATTCCCAATGTGTTCTGCCAGAGCAAAAGAATGAAAGGAGGGTAGGGAAAATAGAGAAGAAAATCCTCATAGGCTGTGTAGCTTTTCATCACTTAGCAGAAAATCATTGAACTGGAACGGATGTGCAAAAGTTTTTTGCCGCAGGGAAACCTAAAATTTCAATAGAAATTTTTTGAAATTGTTTCAGTGCATCCAACATATTGCATGAATAAATAACGCAAAGCTTCAGCGTATCGGTTATTTAAATTTATCCATCATTCAGGTTTATTGATTTCAATTAATTTTTCCTATCTTTCATCATACGCCCGCATGATGTATTGTTTTTGTCGCGCTAAGCGACAACCCACCGTTTGGAGTGTATAAAATTTTTATGAGTTTATGAATTTTGTATAGAGGAGAACAGGGCAGTTTGGCAATGAAAATTTACCCTTAATAAATCAAGTAAAAATCTCCCACTCAAGAAATGGTTTCAATTTAATTTCCGCCTCTTCGGCGGACGTCTTTAAAATCAATGTGCAAATTCTGTTTCAAAATTACGTCGCGCTCTTCTCTTTACTCAATTTGTACATTTCCCCTGAATTCTTCCTGCCGACTAACCTTTAAGATGTGTTATTTCTGATATTGAAACTGGGCGTCATTTCAGAAGAACTTGCGAGAGTTCAAAGAAAGTCTCACAAAGAAGATGTGTGTTGGGCGCAAAAAAGGTCCACGTAAACGGAGCTAATTCAAGGATTGAGAAAAGGCTCTTTGGGGTTACTTACGGCATCACACATCTCCGCTGAAGGACCTCAGAATGCTGGGGATGGGGAAGATATGATTGAGAAGCTCTGCCTCGAGGACCTCGACCTCGTGCATGTGTAGAGGGGCGGAAAGCTTGCCTAAGTGGTTAGTAATATATGATGAGAGATGGGAATAAGATTGCCGAGAGAAGCTTTATTAACATAAGTCGAGTACGGGGTTTTGCGTACTTGAGGGTGAATATATTTTCGTCATGATGGATATGATTTTGTATATGGATTTATGATGGTGAAGAAAAAGCGCTTTTCATTTGCCAAGCCTCCAGAATCACTGTCTTTCTGCACACTTCCCGGGATGCTCTCTTGGCTTCACGCCCATCCCATCCGTATCCCTGCCATCTAATCCCCTGTTGTGTGACTGATTTTGATATGATAGCGTCAAAATGAATAATTATCCATCTCCAGCGATTTTCTCTGTGCTCTATCACAGGTTTAAGTACACATGTAGCCTGGTACAAAGTGGTGTTCCCCGGCACGATTTGGGATCGGTTCTGCCGCGCCACCGAGGGGCGGTGTGTGTGTGTGTGTGTGTGTATGCGAATACGGGGGGAGGAGTCCTCATGTAGCCTGTTGGCATTGTTTAAATCAATTTATCATAAAACACGACAGTAATAAATCAAATGAAGTGAGCCAGTACAGCAGCAACACTCTCGAGTGAAAGAACACAACTTGAGCTTTTGTATGAGCTTTCACAGCCCTCCTCTGGCCTTTCTCAATAACTCGGCGTGAGGGTGCGTATGTGGACAGCGGAGGAACAGGGCATAAAATATGAATGGCTGAGAGTATAATATGAATAGCATAAAATAAAGATCAAAAGGAGGAAAGTGTTTATTTCATACATATTTTACCAAGAGTGGACGTGAATGAATATAAGTCGAAAGCAGTTGCCAAAGAGAAGCCAAGAGCAATATTGCCAAAGTATATTCTCCACATTTGACGCATTTCATACGTGACCAAACGGTCCCACATATTACATAAACACTGGTACATACATGTATGTCTCCGGCACATAGAGTTTGCTGGTAGTAATAATAATATATAAATGTAACGAATTTCTGTCAAGGAATATTGTTCCCCCAAAAATGGCATAACCTCTCGCGCGTCAATAATAATAAAATTCAGTGGCGTGCCAAGAATGGAGATAAGCAAAAGTGTTTTGGGAATAATATGGATTTTCTTCTCGGCCATTCGCACCATAAATGGTAAGTTTTTCCCCATACATTCAGCTTTTTATTCCACCCTTCTCTTATTGCCTACCAACTCTCACACCATTATTTTCACCCTTGACGCGTAAAAAATGTATTTTACCCCATGCAATCCTGAACCCTTTCCTCCTTAACATGATGTGTTGGAGGCAGTTTTTGGCTGAGGATCAACTCGAGAGTTTATTAGCGATTCAATGGTATGCAGACAAACCGAGACGACAGCCAGACAATTCGCCAATTCCCATTCAATGGTCACTTCCCACCCGGTTCGGATCATTCCTCACTATTTTTTATTATATTTCGCACAGAGGCATTCACTCACTTGTCTGTTCTCGACCATTGTCCATTGACAAGTTCACATAAGTCGTGCAGGACGAGCGAAAATATGTACACAAAATACAATAATGCTATAGAATGAAAGGGAGAAATAAACTACATTCACATTCTATGGATACATATAACATACGGACATTCTCTGACAATTTCTAAGAAAACGTATGGATCTGAACTCGAAGAATTTTTGGACAAAGGTTGAAAATGATTTCTTTCTCAAGAAACTGAATAAATTTGCTTAAAGTTATGTTGTGTGGATAAAGTTGACTTTAAATCAAGCTAATCAAGTGACCAAATCTACCCCGCTCAGCCCTATTATTTAAAAAATCACGTCACACACTCGATTAGTCAAGCAGATGCTTCAGATGTGCAGGACAGTGTCATCTATCACACGAAAAGCAGTCGTTTGTTTATGCCTTATCTCAAGTCGCTTGATAACATCTTTTATAAAATTACTTTTTCCCCAGAAGATTAAGCATCACTTGTTTTCCTAGCTTCGCCGTGAAGTTGTCTAGGCCGCGAAATCAGAAACGATTAATTGGTTGTGATTAATGAAGGCTATTTGTCAAGTTGTTGTACCATAAAATTATATTTGTTCATGTAAAATGCTTGTACATTAAACACTTGATGATTAATGAGCAATAAAATTCAATTATCGGTAAATTTTAGATAAATTTCCCTTGACGAGGTTCAATTTGTCTTCCAAATCGCTCTTGTAGTTATACATTCCTGGGCAATTGAGTGACTTTCACCTAGTCTCAGCACAAGACGCCAACCTCTGTTGCAATTTGTAGTGATAGTGAGGGAAAAGGTGGTTCACTAGAGCACTCTATCCTGTCCTTCTATTTTTCAAACGCCGTTCAGTTTGATTATACGTGCAAATGTCCCTCTCTTCATTTCTATGACACTGTGGATGAAGGCATTCTGAAAACTATTCTCATGTACGGGGTCTTTCGCCCGTGTGCCGGGCGTGGGAGAGCGCATGAGAGGATCACGACGGTGTGGAAGAGAGTCTGAAGTGTCGCCGTCTTGAGAGCAATTTCACTTGATTGCATAACTATATTCTCACTTTGCTTGCATATTAAATTTGTAGGCTGCCATCACCTCTGATCAAAGTTGAACTCGCTAGATAGTCGAGTCGCTGTCTTGGCTTTTTACCACGAGAGTATTTCAGAATTTAAGCGGTGTTTCAGTGAAAAGGACGAGAATGAAAAAAAGACAAAAAAGCATAATCTCAAGCAAAAGCCACAAGGGATCTAATATGCTTATCACATTTGAGTTCTCATCCCCATTGATATTAAATCTGCGAGACCTTAGCAGAAGTCACAGTTATTGGCATCCTAGAGGGATTTTCGCTGTTTTAGAATAGTAAAAAAAATTTATGGAAAAAAGCCTGTGTTTCTGATATACCGAAAAATAAGGGTGTAATAAACTTGTCGCTTAAATATATTGATATTTGAAAGCATCGAGACATGTTCTTTTATCAATGCTACATCTTCTTTTTTCACTGAAGAATCACAGTCAGGCGTAAATTTCTCCTGCCTTATCACGAGTTTATCCTCTCATCTCGCGTCAGCCCACAATTACACTTGAGACTTCATCTCAGGAGGATTCCCCCCTGAAGTCTGCCATCCCGGGCGGAATGGTGAGAGAATCCGAGTGAAAGCGATGCTGGTGAATGACGAAGTGACACCACAAAACCCCAAGATTGTTCGGTATGTGGAGACGACTATTAAATATCGCCCACATTCATTGAACATTTTCTCCGCATCTTTCGCCATAAAGAAAATTATTCATAGAAGAAATACATAACAATCGATTTTTCTGATGACGAAGATCATTATAGTCCATTCACATTACTTCCGCATTGTTCATTTTATTAAAATTCACCTAATCAGATTTAAATAATTCAAGGAATTGATGAGGAGAAATACGCGGACCCTCATCATAATTTTACTGCTTTTTTTATCCTCACACCGCAGCATCCACGTGAATTATTAATTCCATCCATAATTAAGATGAAATTATGTGTTTTATCTCAGTGGCCTAGGAGTCACGGCCGCGAGGATTCTCGCAGAAAAACCGACATTCAAATGTGCTCTCGTGAGATTGGGATATTTTCACAGCGAGAGATTTTTCCATGCAAAAAAGCAGTTTTCTTCGAACTCAGCGTCACTTCCAATTAGTGTTCATCAGCGTGGAATGAATATGGAGATTTTTGTACATTTTCCCGAGAGAACACCCGCTTGAAAATTATCAAAACGAAAGAGTATTTCCTGGAAACAAATATTCATAGAAATTCGGGTAATTATCTCTGTTCAAGAGCAAAAAAACGAGTCTTTCAAGTCGCAAAAGATTGTGCTGAGTAAATGACGATGAAAGGGTGAAAGTAAATGGAAGAGGCTTTTATTTTTATGTATTCCTAAATCAAGTCATCCAGCGAACGATAATAAAAAGCATTGTTGATTAGAAAATGTAATCTTTTCCCCTCAGGATTAGCTTTCCAAATTCAATTACAATTTATAATAAAAACTATCTGTTTCGCTAGCCTGATGGTTGATCATCTCGCTGAATTTCAATTTATCACCGAGAAGGGAAGGAAAAATAAAATATTCCACCCTCAGTTTTCCCGTGCTGCAGCAGAGTGCACTCGGCAAATACCGAGAGTATGTGTGTGTGTGAAAAGTGTAGTGGGAATTTAAGGGTTTCGTATTGCTTTAGGTGTAATGTGCTTCAATAATGACATTTTTCTACGGCACATCCATTATCGTTTTCAATCATTTCTTTACCCTCTTCAACCCAATATGCAGCATCCATTGGCGTGCGAGGTGATAAAGCTCACATTAAGCACACCGTTCCCGCCATCCACACCCACAAGGCCCCTTTCGATATTGGCACTCGAGCTTTCAGCACACATGAAGGTGCTCGGCGAAGAGCGTCAATGAAGTCGTTTTACGTGGGAAATAGATCGTGCTGCAGTTGCTCTTTTTTGCCACATAATCCCCCGGAGGATGGATGGATGTGTGTTGAAAATGATGATCAATAAATGGCAGGAAGTATTCAATAAAATGCAAAGCAATCACACAGAATGTTACACATCCACTTTTATTGTCTTCACATGCTCATGGCGCTTCTCAATCCTGATCGATTGCCCGATGTGGTGGCGATATCGCCTTTTCCCTGCAGCCACCCAAGTGGAATACACAGTGTTGGGGAAAAAGTCTTCAAAGAAGCGCAAATTGTCAATTAAAAAGAGCACTGGCGGAGATGAAAGCACTGAAAACATTTTTCTCTCGCTACTCCCTCAACTTTGATGAATGACTGTGTGAAGTTGTTTTTGCTTTTCTTTTCACCACGGGAAAAGTAAATAAGTTAAAAGGCAAAGCATCGCTGGGCGTAAGAAATTTGAGACATGACAGAAATGCTAAAACAACAGCCAACTTATTAATTTTACCAGTGGAAATTAAGAAATAATAAAATCCCAGCTAATTTCTATGAGAGCGTAAAATCCAATTTGTTGAAAATTGTATGTCTGCCATTAGTCCCCAGTTCTTGACTCTTTCTGCCCACACAATGGATTAAGAGCATGGGGTTTGTCATTTCAGAGATTTATTGACGACACAGGGGAATTTATTGGAATTTTCAAATAGATTTATAGGAGTGTGTTGGCTGGGATTTCGAAATCAATTTACAACAATGGCGATATAAAGAAAGACTGTGTGTTACAAGGGTTTGTACAGAATTTTGTGTCTGAGAATGGAGATGGAGAAAATTTTTGATTTGGACTACTTTGGAAGCTAGAATGCAAAGATAACTTCGTTATAATGTTTTCATCGTGAGCTCAAAATGTTGTGTGTCAAAGTCATTTCGGTTATATGGTTTCAAGAGAATTACACTGTTCTTGTGCACGTGACTTTACTCCTTTTCTTTTCTCACAGTTAAAACATCACATGCACGAAAGCTGTTATAGTAAATTTACTTAAAACATTAGGCTAACGTGCTTTCTGGCATCTGTATAAATTCTAGCTTTATGACAAGCCTCTAGGGAGGAAAGTGGAGTGTAAGGAAAAAAGAGCGGTCCGGGTTTGGGTAACTCTTTATTTCTCGAAGTGCTTTTCTTGGTTTTCAATTAAAACTCCATTCAAGTTCGGGATATAAATAAAGGTACATCATCTGGTAGGTATAGCACTGCACGCGAGTATTTACCAAGAATACACCCCAAACCACAGGCGTGAACACAGCTGAGGATGACTCTCGAGGTTCCACTACATGCTATGCCACTTCCAGCAGGGTAATTTGCCATCGCTAGACCCACCCACTCCATTGGGGTGGAGGCTTTCACTGCTGATGGCTGGCGACGAGGAAGCCACTTCTCTCGCCACTGGACGACCACTTCTTCCGGGTCCTCCAAATGTACACGTGCACAGGAATATTTTCCTTTATAGCCGAGTGAGAAAGACGAGAGAGATACCCTTAATTAAATAAGGAAACGCCACTGGCCTGACTTCATTTGTTTCATTCCTTTTTTATTTGGCCTCAGTGTCGGATGAATCTTGCACGGCGTGACCAAAATGAAGGAGTGAATAAATAAAACACTAAAGTAGATTCACCCAATCCACCCCTCATTTCGGGGGTGCCTTTCTCCCAGCGCGGGAGAGAGTGTA